ATCTTTAACAAAGTTGTTTGACATTTAATTACTGAACCATAAATTACATAGTCTTTTCTTGGATTTTCTGTGTTGAACTTACCTCAATGAATGCCTTCGCTTCTGCGTCTCCTTGAGCGACAAATTCTAGTAATTTTGTAGCAGTGTCGCAATAGCTGGAAGTTCGTCAAAAGTTTCAGCACAGATCTTGAATCGGAGATTATTTATTTCTGATAAAAACTGACTTTCATTAAGCCTTGGCAAGAACACTCAGTATTGTTATAGATTACTGCGCTTCATCTTCACAACTGTGTTGATCTGAGTCGACGGTCCACAGTTGGTCCTTATCGCCGCCACATGAGTGTTCGTTGTCGTACCGAGTCGAGGCCAGTGAAGTGGAGTACCACTCGAATGAAATCTAACTTGGTGGTGTTCAGGTTCCAATGGATCAAGGCCTAACCTATATAAAAAACTCTGAGTGAACTTAATCATCCAAGGTGTTCCCCATCTCGCGGGATTCGATTCCGTGCGACAACGAGCACCCACTTGGCGAGGACGACTACCTGTAGACCATCGGCTCGGACCATTTCTGTTCTGAAAAAGACGAAGGCGTGGGGACGTTAGCCGAATAAGTGTTTTTTATGTCAACCTCATTCCAGCCCAATAATTTAGAACAATACGAATTACTTACTTTCTTGTTCAAGGTCTTATTGTGCCTTAAGGTGGCATGATTTGGAATCTATGCAAAAATTCTCTTGATTTGGACAACGTGAATTTTATAAATACTTGATAAGATCTCAGATGGATTCTCTGCACTTTATGTGATAAGTATCATATATAAAGAATGTCACAAACCATGAACGTACGCTGTCTCTACGTGGAAATCTAAAAAAATGTTTTTTTCTCCAGATTTATGCAGCTAGGTTACTTGCCTTAGCCATGTTGAATATACTTCCAACCCGATTTCCTATTAGTTTTGTGAGCTTTCCAACAACTATTTCATAAAGATTTATGATTGGTGAGACTTTCCCAGTAATAATTTAGATTTCTGATTGTTTCACTAGCGGTCGTTGCGCTCCATCAAAGCATTTTCTACCTGAACTGATATTAAAGATGTTAAGTGATTTATTTAAGACTCATAATCTGTTTCGTGAATAAGCATATCATAAGTACTGGTTGAATTTTCCCATATAGTGCATTTCTGTCAAATACATCTTTTGACATATGTTGAACTCGTTTTCAGTTGCATCACTGGCAAACGATGTAACCACCACACATTCTAGACCAAGATTTTTGTTTAACGACTACGGCAAATACGATGTAAGTATTCCACTTAGTTTACAAAGTTAAAATTGCACCAAATGGTCTTCCATCTGACAGCGTTGCACTGCACTCGGAATCGTCGATTCGAGCAACTATGAAGATGTACAGAGCAGTGTATCTGAGCCTTCTAAAAGAATAAAGTGAATTGTGATGATACACAGAGATGATTCATACTTTTATCTCATAGGTGCTGTATTCCTTTTGTAAAATCGAAATGCATGGATTTTCAATGAATACGGTAAAATTGCTCCCTTTTTAACAGTAAACTTTTTCCTATATTCACTTTTTTGTGCATAATTCATCTTATGATATCTCGGCCTATGATAATTCTAATACTCTCGGCGCTCCTATGGACACTGTTTCCACCGTAAGATCTGATATGAAAAAAAAAACTAATATTAAGTTTCTAAACCCGCTTTTCGCGGTTTCGTGTCCTTATTAAAAGAATAACACACAGATCAAAGACTGGAACCTTAGAAAAGTAGATCATCAAGCCCATGTAAGAAAGTGAAAAATAATTGTGAAGCATTTTGGCACTATTCTAGCATATTAACCACAACCTTAGCAGGATAAACCCAATAATTTTGAGTTTGTCACAAGAGGGCCCTCCCAGACACTTACCAAAAACAATGGCCTGGTTTTCAAGATAAGAAAAATTTTTGGCTTCTTGCCAGTAGTATTCTCCTGAAACAGTAGTGAATATTATGGTGGCAACGATTCATGAAATTATTGGACCGACCGCATCTAATAGGTTGAATCATACAAATTGCCGTAATACGAAAAAATACGTGGATTACCACTAGGCCGTGCTATAAAGTCTTAGCCATATAATAAAACGATTAAAATTATTACGCCTCCGTCGACTAGTCGGTCAATTAATCTTGAGAGTTGTAAAATTCTTAAAGAATCCAATCGATGCCCTTGTTTTGCTTTTCTCTCACCCACGTTTTAACTCTATCGGTGCTATCAGCAACCATTAGTCAACGGGAATGAACTGTGGAGCAAAAATTGACATTGTACTCAACCGGAAGCTGAGATCGAAATGTCACCAAGACTACTCATTGTAGCTCAGATTCCCGGAATCATCTTCCCGTCGTTAGAAGTGTGGGTCTCCCAGTGAAGAATACCATGGGAAGAAACACTATATTACAGAAATTCGATGAAGAAAACGACGCGTTTATTCAACACCACAACGTTACTGCTGAAAAACTGCGATTTCGAAATAATCAATAGACGATTGGTTCCAGAAACACAGCGATTTGGTACACAGGTGGTACTCGCAAGAACCTCAGGCAATAAGAAACTCCTTTCCAAATTAATCTCAAAAAAAAACCGGAGAAATAGCAGAGACTTTAAACTTTGTAAAGATCATCCAGTTTCATGCCTAAACAGAAATTTTATTGCTCACGGAAGACAGTGGGAAACCTCATGTGCCACTTCTGAAATGAGTTTTTCAACTAGCACGTCTTCCTGCCTTCACATCAGATCATGGAGGATGGATGTTTCGTACTGCCGGTTATCCCTTACGATATCTAATGTGTTGTTTTTTCAGTAATGAACCGTACAACCTGGTTTGAACCGAACAAGGCCGAGCATCCGAAAAACTTATCGCTATTCTTCGCTAACACGCTGTCTCATCTGTCTGCTCTTAGAATACAAGTGAGACACGGCGCAGGGATCGATCCCCCGTGTGTGCTGCACGGCGTCTCCGACCACTGCTCCACACGCGCCCAATATAAATGCATATATATACATGCATATAAGTGTACATACATACATACATACATACATACACACATACATACATATACATTTACATGTATATATACATATACATATATACATATACATATACATAATGGATATACATGTACATACACATAAACATTACACATATACATTATACACATGCATATACATATACATTATAGATATACATATACATATGCATATACGTTATACATATACGTAAACATATACATTATACTTATACATACATACATACACATACATACACACATACATACATACATACATACATACATACATACATACATACATACACACAATGGCGTTATTTATTGAATCTTGAGAAACAACGCTTAGAAGGGATATGAAACCCAAGAAACAAGCACCATTAACACAACAGAGGCCCGTCAAACATGGCCAAACAGGCATTTCCACTTTGTTAGAAATCCACAGCATATCACTACTTTCGACTAGTTTTCACTATTCTAGAAATCATCCCACTCCTAAGGACATGCTAGGTCACATTTAAGCTTGCATGAGATCGCGAAGCTACTGATAGCTTTATCATAAGTACCTTCACAGCATAAGCACCACGTTGGTTGTCCAGCATAATCCGTAACACATTCTCTTCGATCTCTTCAATTTCTCACTCTTCACTTCTTATTCTGGTGCTCACATTCTGTTTTCAACGGTTATGTTGCTAAGCTCCCAACGATTTACAGCCTCATCGTGGCTAGGTGTTCCCGGATGTCAGGCTGCGATGTACAGCGGGGACCCATACCTCTGTAAGGGTCTTCCAAGCGAAGAAGTAGCTCGGCGTTTCCATCAGGAAGCCCAGCTAAGAGTAAAACAATACCATGAGCTGTTACCGTCCTGCTACCAAACTAGTCGCATGAGGGCAAATCCTCCTGTGATCCACAAAGGCGGCGACTTCTTGTGGTGGTGACGACCTGGGGCAGACTTTGGCCCGACTGACCTCGGGACTCCAGGGTACCACAATGTCTAGACCAGAAAACTCGGAAGAAATGGAGATTTTGTTGGTACCCGCACAACCAGTGAGGACGAGCCAATCAAGTATCTAAGTAAGTGTGCTACTAACAGTTATGCAATCTTTTCTAATCATTAGAAGGACAAATCGTTTCAATCTAACAATTCTCACAACCCAATCCAATACATTCTTTCCTAATGTCGTACTCATCACCTTCTCATTATCCTTTTCAGTTAGCAGTGTACAAATAAATAACTTGCAGTTCCCCACATTTTATGGAAAGCTCAAGTAATGAGAAGGTGAACGTATACATGTGACAATACCATATGGAAAAAAATGTGTCAACAACATAAGTAATAAAGTATTGCTTCCTTCAACGTAAACGAAGCATTCAAAGTTGAACCCTGCTTTTAGGACCAGAAATGTTCACCAAGTAAATGTTAACGTATATTAAATTCCGTACGGGTAACGGGTCGGTAAAAATAAATTGGACCTAATGCAAAGGCAAACACCTTTATTGTATAAAACATCTTATTAAGAATGAGATCTTATGGCACAGGAATAGCCAGTTCAGGCTCGCACATAAAAAGGAAGTATTCATGAATAAAAAATAGCAGCCACAGGCTTGTAAAACAACGAAAGTATAGCACTTCACTGAAATTAACACTACTAGGTGCTAAAATGGAAGTGTTGACGAGAATGATGATGACAATGAATGAAACAACGTGAAATCAAAATATAGTGCCAATTTACCGATACGACAAATCCCTGAGCTGAGATATTCAAATTGAACTGTGGTTACAATGTCCTAATTCACCACAGGAAATGTCAGTTTGTCTACTGGGATAGAATCGTCTCATCGTGTTGTGGCCTAGCAAAAACAGTGACACATTCATAATGATAAAAACAATAGAGTAAATAAATAAGAATGCGATCGGGGTTGACTCTAGCATGAAGAAAATTATATGTCGCCTGATTTGTAAAGTGATCCATGTACACGGAGACGATAAAGCGACGTGTACTCCGCGCCATAGTTGCTCGTAACTTCCATCTCGATGATTTTCACAGGATAGCCCGGTTGAGTCTGACAAGTACGAAGAAGTGTGCTAGATTTATTATCATTTCACGACAAAGACCTCGCTCAAACCACAAAGTGGTTGTGAGTACGAAGATCCCGCCGAAATCAAAAATAAACCTGTGACGAAAAAACTATGGAACCTCGAATTTGTTCGAGTAATGAAAACATTGTTGTGTATAATTGCACACGACCACATAATCCGAAGAGAGCAACAACCTTAACTACGAAGAACTGCAACGGGCTGGCCTTCAGGTCGTACATGAAGTCGCCTAGAAGAACTCTCGTAGCCATGTCGTTCTCTGACTTATAGGCCTAAATATTTTTAGGATAGCACAACAACGACATCAGTAGACGAAAATCTAATCAGACCCAGATTTTAAACGTTTTCGGTGCACTGGGACGCTGACCAGCAGGAGCTTGATGAGCACCTGGAATAACAGAGATTTGCTCGACGGTTAATAAGACAAAAAAATATTACTAAAGCGACAAAATGATGTTTTGCAAACCTATATGCTCGTAGCTGATAAGAGTGACATTTATTGCATGTGAAAGTCCAATTGTGATGTAACCGACGGGACCTTTGAAAGACCAACACTCACCAGGAAAAAGTGTTTTTGAATTGCGCTGAAACGGTGAACATTGAAATTGCCTCAGCCGATAAAGACTTACTAGATGTTTATAAGACATCCCATGCTTAATATGAGTGTTAGAATTCTGAGGACACCAAATCGCCTATTATTTAATACTAATTGAAAGTTCACTGATAGGAAATTACAAATCAATTGCCTGTATAACAGTTCTTGGCCCGTAGCTGGAGTACCATAACGGAATGTTCCAAATTTTCTCGAGTCGCGAGTATGTATTGTAGTTTTCCGAACACCGCGTCGAAATTATTGAGGCACCTAGTAATGCTTCGGTTGCAGGATACATTTAAAGAATAGGAAAACCTGACGCTAAAGTAGGTCAAACCGGTAAAGTATTTCGAGATTTATTTACGACGCAACTGAGACACAACCTTTACGAAAATTTAAATTTTAAATGGTAAATCTCAAACCAATTTTAAAGTTAATTACCAGCGCTCTCCAAAGCAAAATCGAACATTCCTGTCTTATCGCTATCGTATTCAAGTATTGCTGAACGTATAATAGACTCCAAACGTGAGTAGTCGATATCAACTTGTTTCTTCTAAACATATTTCATAAAGTCATCTCCTTTACGAAGAGCATGACACCAGTCGAAAAAGTACATCTAATTCAAGCTTTGACAATTTCTCATCGTAGATAGCAGACAAAGCTTTTAATTCCTTCTCAACTTTAGTTTTGAAGTCCTGATCCATTTGAGCACGCACCTAAACGTAAATAAATGTCATCAAGAGGACCATTGGTGTTGAAGGTGGCAATATGTCAAAATCACTAAAATAAATCACAGTAAATATCCTTGAGCTCTATCTAACCAGATGAATCTTTCATAAGATTGTGGAAATGTACCACCGCACTAATTTTGTCGACCAATTTAGCTTCATCAATTGCTGGTGCAAGTGATGGTATGCATACATTTGGATTGACATCGGAGTTGATAAGATCCATGTTAGGCTTGGGCTCGAGATATGTTTGTTGCTGCTGAAACACCGCCGAAAATTGAAGAACAATGTACACCTATAAGTCACCTTAATCATCTCTAATACTTGTAAAAACGCACATCAACGACGGCGACCAAAGTTCGGTGGAACGAATTCTCAATCAGAATGAACAATGTGTAAACACCATTCGACAGCATGAAAAACAAATCACTTAATCCAGTCAACAACATAGTTCCAACATTGGAGAATAGCGTGAAAATCTTGTAAAAATGCTGTTCTGTTGAAGCGAAGACTCCAGACGACTTCCATGGTGCTAACTAAATGGAATAAAAAGCGATGTCTTTTAAGCACTAAATGATGAAAGAATATCTTTAATGCCGTAAAGGAAAAACGTACATCGGTTGCGTTTGTAAAATAGTGCAACATCTGCGTTGTCGAAAGTGCCTCCGATAGATTCGGGAACGATAATAACGGCACCTAAATTCAGAGGGAAACCTATGATTATCCGAAATTATTAGCAAGAGGAAACACCGCAAAATTTCACCGTAGTTAGCAATGAATAAGCTTCACGACCATAAACAGCAAAGAAATCGAGAATGAAAGATAGTAGACCTCTCACTGAAGATACTCATATTACCTTCGCTAAAAGCGGTAAACTTGTACCTAACACACGCGATTCGCGTTAGTAATTCATGCCCTCTAGTGAGAAATGTTTTGTCGCTTCAAATCAACAAAAATCGAAATTGTTGAAAACGCAATGGAAGATCAACATAAAGCGCAAAGCTTCGGTAAATGCAGTGTTAATGAGGATGCGCTTCATACAAAACGATAGTGGATCGTGTGTACTTGATATAAATTCCATTCATTCCTGGGATAAGTGTAAAAATAAGATTTACCAGATGCATAGATGAGACTGAATGTACTCTCGAACACATTAACAAGAAAGAAATAAGAATTTGAAGCCACGGTAGTGATTCTCCATATTATGCTATGGCGGTACAACTTTCCACTACGCCAGTACTCATCATAAATTGAGTTTAACGATTTCGCATGAACCTGAAATAGGTTACAGTTTGCCGCGTCAAAAAAAGAACCAGAGTGATTACTTACCGCGTCAGGATCGACAAAACTTTGTGCATAATTGCTCACTTTCTCTTGTAACTCTGACACTAAAAGAGCATGTTTTATATTAAATCACCTCAGCGATGCAAATAACTAAACTGCTGCATCAACACTTGCCATCACGTCCCAAAATAGTCACTCCATGATTAGTACCATAATAGAAAAAGAGGAAAAGAAGGAAAAACGGTAGCAACCACCAAACCCATCTGTGACGTCTAAAAATGAACATTATTCTTAATCAAAAAAAAAACGTGTAGCTCACCACCACTTTATAGTACAACCTTATCTGACAAAAAACTCTTTTTGGTCTATTGTATATACAATTTTCTGGTTTTCTACATGGCTACAAATGCTGATAGGGAAATTTGATTAGGGCGACTGCGAGGTCCAGTTCTTACAACTCAACTAGTACTCAATTCCAAAACATTGCTGATGAGAAGAAGCAAAAGAGAAGTATGCCTCCACTCCGTTAAGGATTTTCGTCCTCTTGAAATCACTGCACATCACTGCAAGCTTATCAACGACTGTTTTCATCAAGTCACACGTCTAGTTGCATTTTGACATAGTTGCACTATCCACAAGTGCTATGAAAATTGCATAATTGTCGTAGGTCTAAAATCGAGGTGAATTCGTTCTACTTCTTACACCACCGCTCCTTTACTATGGAGAATCAAAATTTTGACGCATGTTTCCATTAAATAACCAAGCAATGTAGGAACGGCCCAATCGAAAAGGTTGTCTGTTGTACGTGCTTTCCACGAGTTTTAATTCACACCTCTTCCTATTGAGTCATTACACCCGACTTCGCACCTAATAACTAGAAGAAAATCTAAACCAATCCTTTCAAACCAGCGATATGATTATCAGTTTGGGTACCAGCTGTCGCCTCGTTGATTGTCGAGTGACTCGAGCGGGTACCAGTAAATCTTCCATTTTTCCCTGTCGCGTGCAAGAGTAGCCCAGTGAGTTCTGCTCGCTCTAGGGACTCAATGAGCACCTTATCTTTCTTCTAGGTTTTTCGTCAAGAACTCTAACCATCGGGCCGGTGGTCTTCCTGCAGTGCGTTTGACATCCCGAGGAGCCCAGTCACTAACGGCTCTTGTCTATCAGTTGTTATTCATAAGCACTACGTGTCCGGCCCACTTTAGCTTCGACTTGAGCGCATAAAAACCATTCCCTCGCTTGCGTGATACGGTATATCCCCAATATCGTCCTTCTTTCCTCTTCACTACAATCTCGAAGTCCTTGAAACAAGCCGCCTTCTTTCTCCTGCTCAACTCTTGAGCCAAGTCGTTCACCATGTTGATTTCCCTACCTAGATAGGCATAGCTGGAGCATTCGGGAATATTCTACCGTTGAGTGTAAGTGGAGCATAAGAAAATAATCCTTTACCTATGAACATCGTCTTTGTGAAATTTGGTTGAAGATCAATCTATCCAAAATCGTTATCAAAGTCGGCTAACATTCGTTCCGTTTGGCTAATGATTTTGTTTATAAGAACGACTATGTAATCAGCAAAGCTAAAATGGTGTAATTGCCAACTACCGATTTTCATCCGCATGTTGTTCCATTTCAGTGTTTGCATCACGTTCTCTATGGCGGTGGCAAACAATTTTAACGAGATGGTATCTCCTTGTCTGAGCTTTCTTTTGACTTCAAGGTTAATACCACTGTAGAATGATGACATCTTGGCTGTGAAATTTGTGTATAGCCCACGAATCTTTATATGCTGAACAAGGAAACCCAGGCTATCCAGAGATTTCATGACTGCTTCCAGTCGGAGCATGCTCGAGTATGAAATGAAAACTTTGAGTTAAATAGTCTAAGGTTGTTGCTAGCAATTCCTGCAAAAATTAAATTCACCTCTTAATTGAGATAAGCCGTTTACTAACGGCAGCCAGTCTTTTTCCTGTTTTAGACAACCATTACAATTGTTAGGACAAATTGGAGATGGTACCCACGGTTGACTTGAAAAGCTCTTGCGTAAAATGTTTTCCTTTTAGAAGAAAATAACCATGATCCTCACTCTTTTTCCTTCAAAAGCTATTTCGACAAAGACAATCTTTGAGCACTCTTCCTTTAAAATGCCATGTTGATTTCGAGGAGCACATACAGTTAACTGATGGACTCAATTGGCATCAATATTTAATGAAGTGATGATGTGCCAAGTGATTCGTAAACTTTTACATGGCCTTCCTTAGTACACTAACGACGTCCGGAAAATGGTCCCGTTCTCTACCTTCCTCTCCCTTTCTCTCTTCATCATAGATATTTTTGGCTCTACAATTCAATAATGTTTTGCAAGAATGGAGTGGTCATCGAATCAAGCATGAAATAATATTACTCTAGAGGTATCAAACAAGCACAATGCTGTAATCACAAGAATACTCCGATCCTCGTTATGAGTCGTTTGAACGAAAACCCAATAAGAAAAGTGTGGTGTGGTTTCCTGTCTGTAATTAATAAGAAATCCACTCAACATTTTAACATTCTGAACATATTCTACACAAATAATGACGTTTACTTGCCTTCTTCCTATGATAACACCCCTTTAAGTGACTTCACCGCGACTGCAAAAAGGGCATAAAATGTATTAAACTTAAGACTGAGACAGTTTTGCTACCAGAGTTTAAGAGCATGACTTGACCTCAATGACGTCTCGTACAGGGTTTCCTTCGATCAAAATCACTGAGGCTCAAACAGTTTGAAAGTCTGCCACACCGATGACGTCGATGATGATGAATTCTGTTTCTTTACTCGTAGATTCCACAGAACACTACACCAAAACTTTGTCATATTACCACCCTTTTAACAGAGTTTGCTGATCAAAAAGTACCCATTTCGGCTATCCCATGTAAAGCCTAACTGTTTAGTAGATCGATTCCTTTTCTCAGAAAGATGAAGCCTTAGCAAATGGTACACTGCAATATAGTTGCGACAACTCCTCTTAAATATAATTTCAAAAGAACGATCAATTGGCTAGAAAATTTCACCTGGTAAGAAGAACACAGACAGTGTTGCAAAAAACGTCCCTTAGCCAACCAAAACACAAAGACACCCTAAAATATAAAAACAGATTATAGCGTGGATACGGGTGCCATCTGCACACTTTTAGAGGTATCCTGCTAGACGAAAGCATCGTCTAAAAGAACTAAAAGCGACTTGAGAGCTAAAATGCTCAGCAGTAACTATAGAGAGCCTGCTTATCAGTTCTATATCAGGGTATACAATGGAAAAATTCCTACCAGGTGCATTAGGAAATAAATATTGTAGTAGAAGCTACGCTTTTCTGCGAACTAAGGACCAGTTCATGTGTACAATTAATAATAAATCAATAATTACTATCAAAACAATATGATAACGTGACTGGTCTAGGATAACGAAAACATGCAACAACGAATAAATAAGGAGCAATGTTTATAATGACGTTTTAATAAAAACCAATAATGAAACAGAAACATACCTTGAGTACATCCAACGAAGGAGATCGGCACCAGCAAATACTATAAACAGAAAAGCACGGCTGGGAGTGTACAAAATGGAGAAGCAGAGTGATTTAAACTGCGCCACAATGGGAGATACTGTTTGTTCAGAAGGCTTTTCATCGCTGAATGAGACTCAGACTCTATGAAACATTTTGAAAACTTATGAGCCATATTTTTAAAAAATAACAACGGATGATGATCTTTGCATAAGTGACGGAAATTTATCGAGAATTATTATAATTAGAAAGACACGCATGTAGTGCAGTGGTCGGAGGAGCCCTGCAATACACACATGGGATCGATGCCCGCGCCCGCGGGTTACCAAGCCTTTCAACCCTCCGCGGTCGGAAAATTGGTATCAGACTTATCTGGGAGGATAGCAGCACTGGCTCGATACATCGATAGGTCACCGCAAGCCATTTTAAAGACCAGATAAACATTTAATCCCCTCCAACGATGCTAAATGAAGTCAAATGCAAGGCGCATCCCTCAGGGATAGATCAACACCGAGATCTTCATCCTTCTATTCTGCTATAATAATTGAGAACTTCGGCTTGACAGGTATATAGAAAATGCTCTACTTTATTGCTGTAAGATTGAAAATGAATTTTCAAAACGGTGAGCAAAAAAATATTGGGGAACACACGCGTGCCTTACAGGATGGGAATTAGTCTACTCAGTTTCGCTATTCGGAACACGGACGTCGACTAGAAACAAAAACGTAGAAAACTGCACATAGGCGTCAATCAGAACTGGAAATATTGCCTCTCGCTGGTAGAAATCTGCATATGCTAGTGATTTCTCAAACAATAACGTTCACCGTGAAAGGAGATACGTTCGTACGATGCTGGAAGGAATCCTTATTTTCGACATCATAAACTAGGAAATCAATGCCATTCGTCTATTAGGTATTAAAGAGTGAGCATAAATTCTTCCTCGGTACCGGTTTGTATTGCGAAAACAACAATACAACACTTACAAGGAAACTGTGCTCCTTGTCAAATACGTAACTCGAGAATGCAGGGCACCACGACGACCAGCCTTTGACCGAAGTATTGGCGAAGCACGCGCCGTTGACAACAGAATAGTGGGAACAAAATAAGATAACCTAAATATGAAGCAAGAATACAAGATGGTGTGGATAATCGGAAATTTCACTCACACTCTGTGCATGCCATCATATGATTTCTTCACAGATACAGTAAGGAGATGCACAACATACAACATATAGTAAACGGAAGACGAAGCGGTAGATCCAAGCCACGTAGCAATACGATAAGTCTTAAACATTTGTCATAATCTTTTTTTGGAAGACTAAAAACAATAAAATGGAAAGAAACCCCATGATGTTGCGATTTTCCACTAAGAGGCAACAATCCTTTCGATAAACCAAAGCTGGCATTTTCTTTGTTCCTAAAAACGCTAGGTATTTTGGTCAGTGGGAGTATTTTAAAAACTTAAAGTTCACCTAGAAATATCATCTTCAGAGTCGGTATCTGCAGTTACCATACGACGACGCAAATTGTAACGATTATTGCCACTCTCATGATTACTATAATATGCAGCGCTGTCATCTCAAGGACTACTTATACTGCGAACATAATTACGGCATGTAACTACCAGAAAAAAAAAACCTACTAACAACCAAACAAGAATGGTCAGAAAACGGAAATGAACTAGATGTGACAAAAAAAGGCATCCGATATCTAATGACTATGTGAGTTCACAATGTTTACTTTTTACTTTCTGCCTTCTGTTATTTTTATGGCAGGATATTAAGCGAAATACAACCGAAAAATTGCTGAGATATTTTCAAAACTCCGAACCATATGTGTCTGCGGTGGAGAACGAACGCGCTATTGTCCGTTCCGGGGAGTAACGCGTTCACCACCACACAATGCAGGTAATTCGTTTCGCCTGTCTCTCAGCTGATTCTATCGATCTGTGCCGTCAGCAATCATCCGTCAACGGGGTTGATCTGGGGAGCTTTCATCGGCATTGAACCCAGTTAAATTGAGGCTGTAGTTGAATTCACAATGTTTACTTCACATTTTTTGCCTTCTATTATTTTTACGAACGCGTTACTTCCCGGAAAGGACAATAGCGCGTTCGTTCCTCACCGCAGACACTTGCGGTCCGGAATTTTGAAAATATCTCAGCAATTTTGTGATTAAGTGAGTGTTCCTTGAAAGTTATTAGCTGTAAGAGGAAATGAAAGGATCGAAGAAATACGTGGCACTTACCTCCCCTGCCCTCCATCATAATCATCAACAAGTTCACCCCTTGCACGAGCCGCTCTCTGAAATGATCACAAAGGTTGCAAACTAAATAAATTACGAATCTGCGGAATCAACTCTTCTGCCCAGAGCAGTCCTGCATATAGTGCTCGAATCGTAGTGCTGCTTGTTAAAATGAACTCACCCGGGTTTGTACTTCAGCAAGAAAGCGTCTTGCTTCAACTTCAAGTCTTTTTATCTCCTCTATTTTTGATAGCACAGCTCGCTTATTTATTTCGTTGGCCTTCTCCTCCAGTCGTTCATAATATGAGCGTTTAAGAGCACCTTGGAACTTGCGGAAGGCATTAATAGTAAGATCCACTAAAAATAACCAGGCAGTTATATAAGAGGAAACATTTTAAAAATGAAATTTTACTGACCAGGAGCACAAAGGATCCGAAAAATGGAGTAAAAAAAGATCGAAGAGGTGAGAGACAGCACTTCACGAGTCGAAGAGCAAGAACGAAAGTGATTAGCATGGTAGGAACTGACTTTGTACAAACTTACAGATATATGCTCAGCAAATGACCGAACTAAAATAGAAAATACTAAGCTGCCAACTTCCTTTAAACGTTTTTCAACAGGGAAAATAAATATATAACCCACTTAGGCAAAAAGTACTCTCAATGATATTGTAGAACAATAGTCCCAAACCCTTCATAAGACGTATAGTGATTAGATGCAGCAGCCAAAACACAGCATTGCGCACCATACCAATAACGGCCATTCCATTCTGACCAACCTTAATACAACTCCCTCACTGGGAAAACTCGAGGAAACTTCAAATAATCAAATTTATTTATTCATATGTTCTTATGAACCGATCTTGTTGAGCTGATGCGAGGTTGGTATAAGTTGTCACTGTTGCTTTTGTTGTTGATGTTGTTGACCAATGGCCGATGTTTCGGCGATTTCGTCTTCCTCAGAGTCGTGCTGTTACGAGTGGATGAGTCCCATGACAACCATCGACCAACAACAACAACAACAACAACAACAGCGACAACTTACACCAACCTCACATCTGCTCAACACGATCAGTTCATAAAAACATATAAACAAATCAGTTATTTACGCCGACGTTTACAGAATGTCTCGGTCTTTTTAATCCGTCGTACCTTACACAGGAGACTGGGTGCCGAGAAATGATAAGGAACATATTCAGGACTTTCAATATGCAATAAATTGTTGTTGATATTCGGAACTTCCCATGCAGGTGGCCTGTCAGGGTTATACGCTTGACTGAAAACCAAGAATACAAAGTAATAAATGGAAAAAAGAAGTAAAAGCCTACCTGAATGCATACGTGTAGCCAGTTGAGTAGTTCCTGGAAAAGTCACTGCTTTACATTACCATGAACACCAGACAGAATAATAGAGAAAACTTACAGAAAGGGACTAGTCAGCTGATCAGCTTCCTCATCGGTAAGCCGAGGTGAGTTGACAGCTCGAACTGGTGGGCGAGTGAATGAGGGACGTTTGCGATACATCTCTTCTAGTGATGGTAAACGTGTGAGAGAAGACATGGCCAAAATTAGTCACTAAAATCATATCCGGCGGATTCAGGTTGCACGGAACGGAGTTTCCAAACAGTAAGACGAACTACAATTAGTACAGAGAAACGCCACAATGTTAACCTTTTATATGCTGCCTACTCTAATTTTCAGGTAGGCTATGATGTGAAACAGAACCACAATGATGCAGAAACAATCGCAAAAACTGGACCCCAGGCCAGATCGAACCGCGATTACCGATTCCGAGGGCTCGCGCGTTACACACTGCACCACTGAGGCCCTTGCTTTACCTTTCTCTCATTTAGTTTCTATTGGCCTAGTCACTAGACATTCATCATTTCAGAAATACCACAGTTTTCACAGAAATACAAACGCTTCATACACAAATGGTTAGCCATTACACTCAGCAAATTCTGGATAGGATTGAAAACAAAGAGACTATGAAAGAGAACCCCTTGGAACAAAAAGCTATCATCTTAACAAAGAAAAACTTACAACTTTCCACGGGCAACAACGACGGAAAATCCACAACAGAGTTTTCGACAGACGTGATGACAAAACGAAATGAAAGCAGAAAATACCGACCAGGCAAAACTTATTGCGCAAACAGAAGAGAAAGAAGAAACGGTACTGAAAACAAATGCACAGAAGCGCTTTGTTGTACTTCAAATCGCTTGTCTGGAAATAAGCACAATTTGAAACTTACGACTTGCTTACCGTATTGTCCTGTTGGGACCGCAATGCATATTGCGTATTCACGTTCGCGCGCAAAATTCAAACGCATATTTTCATCGATTGACTAGTTTCAGGCGATAACGAGACATCCGGTTAGATTTCGTAGTGGTATACTGTTTTCGTTCGATAGATTTCTGCCTTTAAACTAATTGGTGGAGTTATTGAGTTGCTATCACCTCCAATGTGGCGAACTTCAATGTGTTCAATTAGACTTGGAGCTGATATGTATCAAATATGCTACTACAATTAGTAAAGGCATAGATAGAGTGCTCGCATTCTGACCTAGTTCTTTTGTGACCTTATCACTTATGGTTGGTGTTGAAATGATATCGGTATTTGTATTCACGGATCGCAAAGCAGATGTTATTTTCGAAAAAGGCGTGCAATCGAGCAGTTTAGGTTGCCTTCTTCCCTTTGAGTATAATTAAGGAACTAAGCACCACGTAGATTGCATAGATAGCATAATGACCCGCTCTGACGAAATCTGTGGACCACCACACTTCTCTCACTCAATTTATCGCACTGTAACTTTTATCCACAGAGAGATTGAGTTCGTGTGGGGTTCTGTGGATCCACTTGCAATCTATAGACCTACGATAGTTCCTCCACTATTTACATGCTGAACACTAGTGGAATGTGCTTTTCACTTGAACCCCCGAGTGGCCGTTCTAGAACGTTTCCCATCTCTTCACCGTCGATAAACGTTTGTTTGACACTTGATACTTGGATGGTCCGCTTTCATTGATTGTGCAGGCTCCAGCTTAATTTACATTGTTCGGAGTTTTGCTGGTTTAGCCATTGTGGTTCTCTGGAGACACGGGGTCAGCCTAGCCAAAGTCTGCCACAGGACTTCACCACCACAGGCAGTAACCGCCCTTGTGTATCAGAGAGAGATTTGCCACCATACCACTAGTTTCATACCAGGTGCTGCATGCTGGTATTGATTTACTCTTAGCTAGAGTTCCTGATAGAAATGACGGACTCCTCAGCTTGGGAGACCCTACTGAGCTGCCAAGCGCCTGCCTTCCGTTACGAATCAGAGAATTTATTGAATTGCGATTAGAATTGTTCTAGGAGTCAGCGACTCGTATGACCTGGGAATGAACGTAAAGAGATGTAACAGTACAAATGTCATTTGTGCTACACAATGTACAGCGTATAACACAACTCATACCGATTATTTCACTAATGGAATCTTTTTTTCTTTTGTTTTTCCATCCCAGAAATAATTGTCAGAGCAATGATCTCTATCTTTTGTTTGTTAGAAATTCACTATTTCCTATTAAGAGATTACAGCTTTTCTGCAAAATGTTGATTTTTTCACGACTTTTTAGCGATTTATAGTACAGGTCAGCGAAGCTTAGTAGCAAATTTCTGCATTTTTTAATGTGCTGTCTGAATTATCACGTTTGACAACACGACTTCGGCACTTTCTCTTGTCCCATGGATCGACAACTGGTTTCAACCAATGGACAGATTAATCTCGAAATTATGTCAAAAACTCTAGCAAAATTCTCTATTGATAGTCATTAACAATGCTGTAGCTGCCATTAGCCGTAGAACCAAATGGGCAGCTTGCACTTTCACTACACCGCAATGTTTCGAACCAAGGAGAAGAACCGTTGACCACATCGAGCCGCTGACACTATTCTGTAGGCGGACCGTTCGCCTTCATTGTGTTCTTCTCGTTGCTCTCTTCTTTTTATCGGCTGCATTGTTTCATCTATCACATCGGTCGATCCCACCTTCTCCTTTCTCCCAACTCACTTCCTGATGGAGTCTACGTCGTCTCCGAAAGTGTCACCATTTTGCTTGACGCTTGCCGAAGCGTGGTCATCTTTACTCGTTTTCAGACGTAAAAATGATAATATGTTTCATAATGTTTGTGAAACGACTTGGCAGTTATTAGTGCGAAAGGCAATGTACCAGCTTTGCTGACCAGTACGGAGTGAAGACGTAGTTACATGGTTTTCTAAAGTGCAAGCACATGTTTGGTAAAACTCTCCGACATGGATTGCAACGCTTTGTTTTCTGTGCAGACCTTTCTCATTTACTATATTCTTTTTCTTCATGGGAGAGCGTGAAGTGAACTATAACCACAATGATGCTGAGATATTTGCAAAGCTCCGAACCGCAGATGTCTGCAGTGGAGATCGAACCCGCTATTTTATCCTTTGTGAGGGTCATCGTGTTCAACACCACACCATGCAGTTCCTTCGTTTTGTTTTTCTCTCAGTTGTGTTTCAGCTTCAGCTTAATTGAACTCATTGCCAATTTGTACTTCCCAGATCGATCCTGTAGACGGGTTGTTGCTGATAGCACCTATTTACACGTCTGAGAGAAATACCAAACGAAGAACTTGTACTGTGTGGTTATGAAGACGCTAGCTTCCGGAAGAGGTAGTGTAAGGTTCGATCCTCACTGCAAACACCTGCGTTCCGGAATTTTGCCAATATCTCAGCACCATTGTGGTTATATTTCACTGTGTTCTCTACTTTAGCATCACGAGACAGGCAAAGGAAATACTTCAATTTCATGGTGTAAGAGCTCTGCTCCTCAAACGTGAACCAAAGTCCTGATCATGTTAGAACAAGCGTGGAACTGTTAAGGATTGCTCAGCTGCGTGACAGTATTTACTTACTTGGATACTTGGATAGCCTGCTCTCTCTGGTTGTGCGGGTCCTAGCACAATTTCCATTTTCTTCGGAGTTTTGCTGGATTAGCTATCGGGGTCCCTTGGAGGCCCGAGATCAGCCTAGCCAAAGTCCTCACTAGGTTTTCAACATCACAGGCAGTCGACGCCGTTGTAGATCAGAGAGGGATTTGCCATCATAAAACTAGTTTAATACCATGACGGTGGTGGATCCTGGTATTGGTTGCTCTTAGTTGGGCTTCATGATGGAAACGTAGAGTTCCTTAGCTTGGGAGACCCTGCTCGGAGAGGTATCCCTCCACTGCACATCGCAACCCGACACCCAGGAACACCTCCCAGCCACGGTGAGGCTGTAAACCCGCTGCGTGACAGAAAAAAATTAATCCCGAATACTACGAGATATAGTACAGTCAAAATTCATCAGAACGAGATAACGTTGGATGAAAACGAAGCAATGCGAATCGAAGAAGAATTAATTTATTAGACCAATCAATGAACAGGAGCGTATGAATCATTGATAATGTAACACTGGAGTGTCGGTGAGAATTTACAAAGCATTTAGCTGTTATCAATCCTATAGGGACGGTCAGGTATTAAATACGCCATGCAATCGACTCTGTTAGGCAGTGGAAGCGATTGAGTGCATATTTCTTCTTTCCAATGACTTATGGAGGACAGCTTATTTCTCAAACCATGTTTTTATCCTATCAGACAATTCTAATAGGCTGCTCAGAGAGCTCCGGACGGCTTGTTCAGCTCGTGACGCCAAACCGAACCAACGACCACATATGTATTGCGTGATGCTTCAACGAAAATTGTATTTTTCCAATTTGGAGTAATGTCATTGCTTATGGGTGTTTGTAGCAGTGAAGAAAACCCGAACTTTAACGTAGAGTAGTTGTGGTGCAGTGTGGCCAATTTGGGTGAACCAAATCCGGACCGTTCAATTTTGTTTACCTCAATCTGTTCTCACCAGAGCCAAGAAATTACAGTAGCATTTGTTCAAAATGAACTGATATGAGAGTTCAATAATACAAGACGCGGTGTCAAACCAAAGATGACGTGCGTATTGCTGGGCACCCCTTACCACTGCAACATCCGCGTAAGATGTATACATAAGAACTAGTGGATCGAGTGTGGCACACCCACCTTTTAAGAAAATGTTATGTCTACTGTGAATGGCAGTGAAATCGTGAACGTGAAGTAAAGCCTGTTACTGGGTGAGTGAAATCGGTTAACGATGAATCATAAATGAATCTTCTACGTCCTGTCAAGGCAAAATTTTTTTTTCTTTCATACGATCCGCCATCACATCCACTGTGCGAATTCCAGCCCTCCTTGCAATCGATTCGTTTCCTCGCAATCATCGTCCATAATGGTCTCCAAATATTTCGTGTGTTGTTTCGGCTGCTACTTGACGATTTCGTCTTTTCTACGAATGCCGTTGAAGGCCTATTGAGTCAGATTTCCTTGCAACCTTGGAGGTAGACGGGCTACGGCGTTTCCATGTGAATTGAACGAGAGCGTTGAGGCAGGAATCGAACAAGCGCCTTTGCTTCTTGATCGACGGAATCACAAATCAGTGCGTTCTCCCCGCCCCTATCCAAAGATTACTATTTCCTTC